CAAGTATGTCTTGGATGAGCGAGGGGCTGGAAAGCAAAGACTCCTGGATGAGAAATAATGGGGGTTGATGGCTTACAATAAGTCTTCAATTACATGGTGAGACTAGCCAAAGCACTGCTGGAAAGAATTGTTCATCTGGTAACATTTTCACCTTCCACTGCAGCATAAAAGTCTAGGGATTTTTCACTCGGCTTCCTCTAAAGGGAGAGTCCTACTGAGTATTGCGGTTCTGTCCTTGTTAGCAGGAGGCGTGGATTACAGATGGAGAGCTAATGAAAGCTATCAGGTGAAATGAGGAATTTATGCACGCTGCTCTTAATGTCAAAGAAAGGCACCTTAAGCAATGAATATTTAGACATATTCACTCCATTTGTGTGTTTTAAAAATGCATAAAGTACCTGAATAAAAACTGGCACCTTTTCATGCCCCGGTGTTTGGATGTCATTTAGTGTCACCCTCCCCCCAGTGGAATTATTTTTATGTATTTCTCTGATCAGGGCTAATGAGGAATCTCATCCTACTATACCCCCTCTGCTAGGCACTACACATGCTCACACCAAAAGAGGCTGCCCCTAATTTACAATGTTTGTTATCTCCAGTGGATGCAGGATTGGTAGCGCTGAGCACTCCACGTTATGGGTACGGTGGGGACACTATCAAGGACTCCCTTTATAGTCTCAAATAAACACAGCTAAATTGAGAGGACTACGTCTACAAATGGAAGGAAAACCATCACTGTGCACATCTCTAGCAGTCCGCGGAGACGGAACAAATAAACCAGCTACAGGCCATCAGGTGAAAAGTGTTGTGTATGTATCCTTATCATTATACTCTGGGCAGTTTCCAAAACATATTAGAGGCTGCTGAACAAGGAGATCATCACAGCGCGTTGGATTCTGCCAACCTGCGTTTGAACTCGCAGATTAATAGTAAAAAGCTCCAAGTCCCATTCCGTGTTCTGGGCAAATCTGGTTCTGCAGTGAAGCACAAGGGAGATTTAAATTCCTATGCTAATGCAAAATTGCTGGGCTTGAATTACTTATGAGTGATTTGCTACTGGTTTTATAGTAAACAGGAATGGGAAAATGTTCTTTTAAATGTTTTCTTCTGGTTTGGGGGAAAGACATTGAAAAATGAACAAACCAGTGATAGATAATTATAAGCAATGCAAGGAAAACACTGAAATCACAAAATTTTAAAGGGGGAAGGGAAGGTTTGAGTGGGCTACTATGAGTTGATCCCCCTTATTTTGTTTTAACATTTTTGCTGGTGAAGTTTCCTTCTTTCCACCATGAAAACAATGGCAATGTTACCAGTACCTTCAGATGGCACCACAAATGCAGTCATTTACAGAATAGCTTCCAGCAGGTCTCAAAAGCCATCGTTGAATCGTGCTTTAGAAACCCATAGCACAGCCAAATTGCAAAATTCTGGTTTTTAAATCCTTAATCAGGCACTTTTGCTGACTTCCAAGTCTGCTAATTTCTCCTTTCGTTCAGTGCATCTGCCTGTACTTTTCCTTTTCCCGAGATGCCATTTTCTGCACAGTTTTTATAAATACCTCTAATCACATGCATTGACTATAGAAAAAAATAGCCAGGCTTGTGTGCTCTTTTTTTCTGCTGGAAAAATGCCACGGGGAAGATCTAACTAAAGTGGCTGCAACGATGGCTGCAGCTGGTGCCCTCTTCAAAACTGGGTCCCCCCTCGTTGCTCTCAGCTCTTGGCTGCGAAGAACAGAGAAGCTGGGGGACA